TCTATATCTGTCCACTGTTTTTACTGTTTATATCTGTCCACTGTTATTACTGTCTTTATCTGTCCACTGTTATAACTGTCTATATCTGCCCACTGTTATTACTGTCTATGTCTGTCCACTGTTATTACTGTCTATATCCGTCCACTGTTATAACTGTCTATAGCTGTCCTTTGTTATAACTGTCTATATCTGTCCACTGTTTTTACTGTTTATATCTGTCCACTGTTATTACTGTCTTTATCTGTCCACTGTTATAACTGTCTATATATCTGTCCACTGTTATAACTGTCTATATCCCTCCGCTGTTATTGATGTCTATATCTGTCCACTGTTATAACTGTCGCTATATGTCTACTGTTATTACTGTCTATATCTGTACACCGTTATAACTGTCTATCTCTGTCCACTGTTATTACTGTCTATATCCGTCCACTGTTATAACTGTCTATAGCTGTCCTTTGTTATAACTGTCTATATCTGTCCACTGTTTTTACTGTTTATATCTGTCCACTGTTATTACTGTCTTTATCTGTCCACTGTTATAACTGTCTATATCCCTCCGCTGTTATTGATGTCTATATCTGTCCACTGTTATTACTAGATGTGTCTGTCCTTTGTTATTACTGTCTATATCCCTCCACTGTTATTAATGTCTATATCTATCCTCTGTTATAACTGTATATATCTGTCCACTGTTATAACTGTCTATATATCTGTCCACTGTTATAACTGTCTAGATATGTCTACTGTTATTACTGTCTATATCTGTACACCGTTATAACTGTCTATCTCTGTCCACTGTTATTACTGTTTATATCTGTTATCACTGTCTATATCTGCCCACTGTTATTACTGTCTATGTCTGTCCACTGTTATTACTGTCTATATCCGTCCACTGTTATAACTGTCTATAGCTGTCCTTTGTTATAACTGTCTATATCTGTCCACTGTTTTTACTGTTTATATCTGTCCACTGTTATTACTGTCTTTATCTGTCCACTGTTATAACTGTCTATATCTGTCCACTGTTTTTACTGTTTATATCTGTCCACTGTTATTACTGTCTATACCTGTCCTCTGTTATTCCTGTCGATATCTGTCCACTGTTATTACTGTCTATATATATCTACTGTTATTACTGTCTATATCTGTACACCGTTATAACTGTCTATCTCTGTCCACTGTTATTACTGTCTATATCTTGCGCACCATGTGTGGACGATGTGCAGACGGTATGTGAACGATGTATGCACGGGGTGCGCACGCTATTTTTGGTGCGTTGTGCGGTCCCACAACTGTATGTCCTCTGTTATAACTGTCTATATCTGTCCACTGTTATTATTGTCTATATCTGTCCTGTGTTATTGATGTCTATATCTGTCCACTGTTATAACTGTCTATATCTGTCCACTGTTATTACTGTCTATATCTGTCCCCTGTTATTACTGTCTATATCTGTCCACTGTTATTATTGTCTATATCCCTCCACCGTTATTAATGTCTATATCTGTCCACTGTTATCACTGTCTATATATGTCCACTGTTATAAAAGTCTATATCTGTCCTCTGTTATTACTGTCGATATATGTCCTCTGTTATAACTGTCTATATCTGTCCACTGTTATTACTGTCTTTATCTGTCCACTGTTATAACTGTCTATATCTGTCCACTGTTATTACTGTCTATATCTGTCCACTGTTATCACTGTCTATATATGTCCACTGTTATAACAGTCTATATCTGTCCTCTGTTATTACTGTCGATATATGTCCTCTGTTATAACTGTCTATATCTGTCCACTGTTATTACTGCCTATATCTGTCCACTGTTATTACTGTCTATATCTGTCCTGTGTTATTGATGTCTATATCCCTCCACTGTTATAACTGTCTATATCTGTCCACTGTTATTACTGTCTATATCTGTCCACTGTTATTATTGTCTATATCCCTCCACTGTTATTAATGTCTATATCTGTCCACTGTTATCACTTTCTATATCTGTCCACTGTTATTATTGTCGATATATGTCCTCTGTTATAACTGTCTATTTTTGTCCACTGTTATAACTGTCTAGATATGTCCACTGTTGTTACTGTCTATATATGACTACTGTTATTACTGTCTTTATCTGTCCACTGTTATTACTGTCTATATCTGTCCACTGTTATAACTGTCGATATATGTCTACTGTTATTACTGTCTATATCTGTCCACTGTTATTACCGTCGATATCTGTTCATTGATATAACTGTCTAACTGTCCACTGTTATTACTGGCTATCTCTGTCCACTGTTATTACTGTTTATATCTGTCCATTGTTATTACTCTCTATATCTGTCCACTGTTATTACTGTTTATATCTGTCCACTGTTATTACTGTCTATATATATCTACTGTTATTACTGTCTATATCTGTCCACTGTTATTACTGTTTTTATCTGTCCATTGTTATTCCTGTCCATATCTGTCCATTGTTATTAATGTTTATATCTGTTCACTGTTATAACTGTCTATATCTGTCCACTGTTATAACTGTCTATATCTGCCCACTGTTATTACTGTCTATGTCTGTCCACTGTTATTACTGTCTATATATGTCCACTGTTATTACTGTCTATATCTGTCCATTGTTATTACTGTTTATATCTGTCCACTGTTATTAATGTTTTGATCTGTCCACTGTTATTACTGTCTATATCTGTCCATTGTTATTACTGTCTATATCTGTCCACTATTATTACTGTCTATATCTGCCCACTGTTATAACTGTCGATATATGGCTACTGTTATTACTGTCTATATCTGTCCACTGTTATTACTGTCTATATCCCTCCACTGTTATTACTGTCTATATATGTCCACTGTTATTACTGTCTATGTCTGTCTACTGTTATAACTGTCTATATCTGTCCACTGTTATTACTGTCTATCTCTGTCCACTGTTATTACTGTTTATATCTGTCCACTGTTATTAATGTTTTGATCGGTCCACTGTTATTACTGTCTATATCTGTCTACTGTTGTAACTGTCTATATCTGTCAACTGTTATTACTGTCTATCTCTGTCCACTGTTTTTACTGTTTATATCTGTCCACTGTTATTACTGTCTTTATTTGTCCACTGTAATTACTGTCGATATATGTCTACTGTTTTTACTGTCTATATCTGTCTACTCTTATCACTGTCCATATATATCCATGTACATATTGTTTATATCTGTCTCCGTTATTATTGATCAAATGTATGTTCACCGTTACTAATGTTTTTATGTGTCTGCTTTTATTTTATTTTTTTGTTAAAAAATAATTGGGGGGGGGGGGTCGTTGCTTACATCCACCCATTGTAGATCAACTTCGCATCATGGTACAATAGTATCCTATGGCAGTGACGGTGTTTTTCATCCATATAAGGTTTTCTATCATACAATGTAGTTATGCGAGTATAAACTTTTGCATGCATTGTCCATTAAGTGTTTCCAGGCAATAAAACGAAATTGTTATGAAATGATACTGAAGGAACTGCAATTCAATCACAATCATGTGTTAAGATCATGTAATGACGTGCTTCCATGTATGTTAGGTATGCCTGCAAGTGTGCTTGTGTGCTGGAGACGACAAGATATGTTGGTGTATTTGCTTCCTCCTAAAAGCGCTGATATGATGCCGACTTAAAAGCGCTACCTTACTGACATACTGCCAGCAGGTTAACCAGCTGTTGCCATTACCCTAAAAACTGAACGTTTAGCAGGGAATAACAACTACTGCTTTGTTAGGACTTCGATACGACCTTCCCTGGTGACATAACTCATTGCCTTCCCCACTTGGTCAATTGTTCACACCAAGGCCAAAAGTGGGGCATTGACAAAAAAGGCGCTATGGAACAGAAAGGTTTTAGGAGGAAGAGGGAATGTGGGCAATAGGTCATTTTTTTGTTATTTTTTTTCAATGTCCTCTTAGTAGAAAACACAGAAGAAACAGCTCGATGATGTCCTACGTTAGTAGCCTGTACGACATGCAGTCGGATACAGCAGGCCTAGTATGTCCGAAACTTACAGGCTATCATTTATAATAATTAGGTAGCGTAGTGTGGTTATTGTCACCCTTTTTACACCAATGACAATACTGGCTGGACAGCAATGAAGAAGCACCAGAGGAAGCCTTCATTATCTGTGTATCACGATGGTATAACTCTGGATTTGACAACAACGCTTACTGTTGTGACACTGGCATTAAATAGCTTGCTGTTCTGTCCGATGCCATAACTAGGAATACTTCACATACAGGCGTTCTATAACACTCGTCGGGTAATGCCGAGTCAGCTTTCCAACGATTGCCAATTGGAGGAATTTTATTTTGTTCTAGAGACTAATAAACAGCTTGAAATTCTCATATCATTTTTTTGGGGGGCCGAGAAATAAAAACCGTTCGGGTTTATTTTAAGTTTCTGGCAAGTGTTCAGCTATTCCCATGACATAACGGAATACGCCAGTGTACACAAGCATGTAGCTATGCATCTACAAGAGTTAATTTCAGAAGAAACAACGAACTATTAATAGTAATCCCAGCCGTATAAAGCTCTTTTTTATTCGTACAATTACAACAAAGCCGATTTGATTGCATTGATTAGCGTAGAGAGACGGTAAACCTGATGTCGACGACTCCTTCCTCGCCAGTGTGAAGAGCTCCTCTTCACTCAACCCTAGAGCGGCCATCACAGTTTGAACGCCGACAGAAGACTCGTTTTAGATTAAAAGTAGCGATATCATTTCTGACACAGTCACTTATCATTCCTTTGAGAAATAACTTGTTTAATGAATCCTTTAGTAGGAATTATAAAGAAATGGTAATGGAAGGGAAAGTTTTGTTTAACAGTCTGATTTACGTCTTTACTGATATTTGCCTGAAGATGGTGTTTGTGATGACGTTTCTAAGTATGGCGTTTCCTGTTGGACAGGTTGTATGATTTTACAACTACTTTAAACCTTGTTCCCCTACAGGCGTCACTCCCAACACCCACGCCACGATGTCTGTTGCCACGGTTTTACCGATAGAGAGCAGAGAAATGCCGAGCCCGGGGCACGGGAGACGAGTGGGGAGTACATCCACGTATGGCCGTGCAAGTGTTTCAACAATCGGTTCCACCGCGGGACGGAGCAGTACCTCAACCAATGGACGGGGAAGTGTATCGACAACCGGAAGAGGAAGTACGTCACGACCACCTAACGATGTTGACCTTGTTTATATTCAGTCCTTTACCAATCACCAGATAGACGTAAGTATAGTGGCATAGGCCATGTTTCTGCCATATCGTCTGTTACACGTGAATGCTTAAACCATGGACAGTTCAGATATCCAACATATCTTTTGTTTATATTCGGTTAAGTGCACTGTCTAAAGGATTATTTTACTACTAATGTATACAGGATTATATTTTCTGCATAATGTATACAGGATTATATTCACTACATACTGTATACAGGATAATAATTACTAAACACTCTATGCAGGATTATATTTATTACATAATGTATACAGGATAATACTTTCTACTTACTGTATACAGGATTATATTTGTATTTACTACATACTGTATACAGGGTTATACCTGTATTTACTACATACTGTATACAGGATTATATTTACTACATACTGTATACAGGATTATATTTACTACACACAGTATACAGGATTCTATTTATTAAACACTGTATACAGGATTATATTTATTAAACCCTGTATACAGGATTATATTTACTAAACATTATTTACAGAAATATATTTACTACATACTGTAAATACACATGACATAGTAACATTGATTTATATTTTTCTGTTTACATAAACATACTTTGTATTAACACTGCTGTGTAGAGATGCTGTATTAAACTTACTATTGACCTTTTTTGTAGTAACACTAGAGTAGTAACACAGGTGTAGCAACATTGGTGTAGTAACATTGGTGTATTTACAATGGTGAAGTAACATTGATGTAGTAACATTGGTGTAGTTACACTGGTGAAGTACCATTGGTGTAGTAGCATTGGTGTAGTAACATTTGTTTAGTAACATTGGTGTAGTAACATTGGTTTAGTAACATTGGTGAAGTATCATTGATGTAGTAACATTGGTGTAGTATCATTGGTGTAGTAACACTGGTGAAGTAACATTGGTGTAGTAACATTGGTGTAGTAACACTGGTGAAGGAACATTGATGTACTAACACTGATGTTGTAACATATGTGTAGTAACATTGGTGTAGTAACATTGGTGTAGTAACATTGTTTTAGTAGCATTGGTGAAGTAACAATGATGTACTTATACTGATGAAGGAACATTGATGTAGTAACACTGGTGAAGTTTACAAATATTCCATTTGAAAAATTGGTAATTTAAAATTAGTGATTTTATAACGTCTTCGTTTTACATATATATACGAACAAATACCATGGTTTATGTTAACAGTATGTACAAGGATAGTTACAAGTAACTGTAACAAGTGTTCATCATGTGTTGTATTTGTGGATAATATATTACTCACAGACTGTTTTATCACCAATTGTTTCGCTTCTCTCTTACAGAAATGGAAATCTTTATTCGAGACAGTAAGTAATCAAAGCTTTCTAATCTAATCTAACATTTCAATATATGACACAAGTTTTTGACTTGCAAACGGGTTTGATGGAGTCAAACGTTTCAATCAATACCAAGTAAATACAGCGCTTAACTCTGTTCGAAACATTCGAGCGGAAATCAAAGAATTTCATTTCCAAGACTTCATTGTCCTGTACATCCAACCTAGCTACTGGAGGATGTCTGTTGTTAAGGAATGTGAAATCTAAACCACTGTGAACATTAATTTGATGGTCCCTTGGTGTTTTAATGCAGCAGTTCCTTGTATCTGCCGAGGGTGAACGCTACTGTAGTGTCCCTGTTTGTATTATTTAACGCGCGCACCATTCAGTTTGTTTGTGACACATGTGGCAGTTATACCAATTGGTCTGCCACATCTGTGCAGTTTATTGCTTATATTTATATTTTCGTAATGAGAATGCGCAAAAAATATAATTTATGTCTTTTCCAATTTTCAAATTTCTCGCTTATTACCGTCAGGTCAGGTCATTATCTAGAACGGCACAAAGATAACAGCTGACGTCACGCGCTATTTCCCATACACAATTGAAAAGGCTCCACATCTTTCGTTAATAATTCATTTGTTTTTAATTTATACATCCAGTCTACTATATTAGACTTACGAGACACTCACTCTTCCCCTATCACTCTAGACTGTAACAGTATTGCATATGTCTGCTCGCCCACCTTTACATCCAGTCTACTATATTAGACTTACGAGACACTCACTCTTCCCCTATCACTCTAGACTGTAACAGTATTGCATATGTCTGCTCGCCCACCTTTACATCCAGTCTACTATATTAGACTTACGAGACACTCACTCTTCCCCTATCACTCTAGACTGTAACAGTATTACATATGTCTGCTCGCCCACCTTTACATCCAGTCTACTATATTAGACTTACGAGACACTCACTCTTCCCCTATCACTCTAGACTGTAACAGTATTACATATGTCTGCTCGCCCACCTTTACATCCAGTCTACTATATTAGACTTACGAGACACTCACTCTTCCCCTATCACTCTAGACTGTAACAGTATTACATATGTCTGCTCGCCCACCTTTACATCCAGTCTACTATATTAGACTTACGAGACACTCACTCTTCCCCTATCACTCTAGACTGTAACAGTATTGCATATGTCTGCTCGCCCACCTTTACATCCAGTCTACTATATTAGACTTGCGAGACACTCACTCTTCCCCTATCACTCTAGACTGTAACAGTATTACATATGTCTGCTCGCCCACCTTTACATCCAGTCTACTATATTAGACTTACGAGACACTCACTCTTCCCCTATCACTCTAGACTGTAACAGAATTACATATGTACATAATTATAAATTTAAAGCTAACAGTAGCATTTTAACATTATTGGAGTTTTGCAATTGACAAAAGCGTATAAGACTGTAATAATTTAGGCCTAGGGTATGATATGAGCGAGAGTGGAGAATATCATGTATTATAAACCAGAAATACTCTCCAAAGATTCAAATTGTACACAATATTGATTTTCAAAACCGTGGTGTTTTATTAAGATGAGCTACGTTGTAGAGATTTTAATCACGAGATTGAGAAAAAAAACGTTGGGTATAATCTAATTTCTTAACCTTTGGCACGGTAATAAACACGAAAGTTCGTCTGTGACATCAGACGGGTGCTGTATCGAATGATGAGTTTAAACAGCAATCACGGGAGACATTGGTGTGTATAAACCTATACACGGCAAAACATGCTGGTAGGTACGGCCAAACTGATGAACAAAAAAATCACAAACTAATGACGTAATATAGAGGTATTCGACAACGGTTTGGCTCTCTGACACATGTGGATACACAATCGATCACCTGTAAGTGGTGCCACATCTCATAAAACACAGAGTATGCGGGTCTATACCAGAGCTTATCGGTGCAATACTTGATGCAGTTTGAAGAAATTGTGTTGTATTGGAGACCTTTTGATGTGTTTACGTTTTATTTATTTTTTTACACTCGCGTACTCTCCAAGTACATCACCATTTTAATTAGTCCAGTATGTTCTTTGTAGCTAAGCGCATGTAATAAACAATTCCATCGAGTGACATGGCACGACATGGTTATTCTTTTGTATTGATAGCGCCATGTAACAAAGTGCGGCTTTCATGAGTGCTATACATTTATTAAAAGATTTATCTCATTATTGCTCTCCGGACGAGGATGTCCAGAAATCAGGGATTTAGAGCTACAATGTACATTGTATCACGCAACGACCTTCCTATTTTCTGTTAGTTTCGTGTTCGTTATTCTAAAGAAAAACGTTATTGCATTCGATAAACCGGCAGTCAGAGAGCAGCGTGACGGCGCAAATGTCCCCTCTTCAAATCGGCAACAACAGGCGATTTTTCACAAGTTCATGTGAAATTCACAAGTAGGCGAAGTTTTAAGTAATTATTTATTATTCAATCATTCCGATAATTCTATGTTTAAGAAAGTTGCATCGCCTACATTAGCCGAACAAGGATAACGCAAACACCGTGTCTACGCATATGTCTGTGACTGCCAACAATTAAATTTCGAGGTTTGAGCAGACGACAACAGTGGATCTTGATACAATTCAGCTAAACTGTCGGTCAGCCAGGACACAAAAGGCCGCTGTCATACGTTTAAAGATTACATTACAGAAAAACAATGGATGCAAATTGGGAAAGTCATATCTTTACATGGCGATAAAACGGTTCCTCGATGCAATGCATGTGCTAGATAAATAATTAAGCTAGCCGTTATCATTTTAATAACATGGAAAAGCATTTTTAATATAAAAAACGGTTGCCAGGAAATCATTCAGTGTCTCTAAAGTGTAAGAGTGATTTGAACCGACCGTGACGCTATTCAACTATCCTGTTCTGTTGATACTGAACATTTTACGAAAACTGTTTTTAGAATCATTCATCAGGGTAATCTCTTTTTTTGAAAAAGTGATCAACAATGAAAATACTGTGAGTGATATCGTGCGTGTTTTGACACGACAGCCTATGGGTAGGGTATGGACTGAGTTCCACAGGAAGCGCGAGCTGTCGCGCGAACTCCAAATCAGTTTAGTACCTCTAGTCGACACACTTAACCCGTATTCGATTTCTCTCGGGACATTGGCTTACTGAGTGTATTTTTAACAGGTTTAGTAAGTGATTTGTTCTTCGACTGATATTTCACTCACACATTCCTGTCAGGATATTTTCGCCCTCCTATAAAGGATCCCCCCCTAACGTCTAAAATCTGTCTGGAAGAGATTAAGTATTCAGGACGATTTTTCATCTCAAAGAGAGTGAACAAGTCAATGGTATACATCAATTTTCCCCAATAAATCAGACGAGTAACGAATTGTTAACAGTAAACTGATGAGAAAGAACTTTTCACCAGTAAACCAAGCGTGTAACAATATGTTATCAGTAAACCAAACGAGTAACAATTTGTTATCAGTAAACCAAGCGTGTAACAATTTGTTATCAGTATACCAAACTAGTAACAATTTGTCATCAGAAAACAAAGCAAGTAGCAATTTGTTATCAGTAAACCAAACGAGTAACAATTTGTTATCAGAAAACCAAACGAGAAACATTTTTCATCAGTAAACCAAGCGAGTAACAATTAGTTATCAGTAAACCAAGCGTGTAACAATTTGTTATCAGTATACCAAACTAGTATCAATTTGTCATCAGAAAACAAAGCAAGTAGCAATTTGTTATCAATAAACCAAACGAGTAACAATTTGTTATCAGTAAACCGAGCGAGTAACAATTTGTTATCAGTAAACCAAGCGACTAACAATTTGTTATCAGTAAACCAAACTGGTAACAATTTGTTATCAGTAAACCAAACTGGTAACAATTTGTTATCAGTAAACCAAGCGAGTAACAATTTGTTAGCGGTAAACCAAGCGTGTAACAATTTGTTTCAGTAAACCAAGCGAGGAACAATTTGTTATCAGTAAACCAAACGAGGAACAATTTGTTATCAGTAAACCAAACGAGGAACAATTTGTTATCAGTAAACCAAACGAGGAACAATTTGTTATCAGTAAACCAAACGAGCAACAATTTGTTATCAGTAAACCAAACGAGTAGCAATTTGTTATTAATTATCAGTATACCAAACTAGTAACATTTTGTCATCAGTAAACCAAGCAAGTAACAATTTGTTATCAGTAAACCAAGCGAGTAACAATTTGTCATCAGTAAACCAAACTAGTAACATTGTGTCATCAGTAAACCAAGCGAGTAAATTTTGTTATCAGAAAACCAAATTAGTAACATTTTGTCATCAGTAAACCAAGCGAGTAACAATTTGTTATCGGTAAACCAAGCGTGTAACAATTTGTTTCAGTAAACCAAGCGAGTAACAATTTGTTATCAGTAAACCAAACGAGCAACAATTTGTCATCAGTAAACCAAGTGAGTAACAATTTGTTATCAGTAAACCAAGCCAGTAACAATTTGTTAACAATATACCAAGCGAGTAACAATGTGTTACCTGGAATTAAGCGAGTACCAATGTGTTACAAGTAAACCAAGCGAGTAACAATTTGTTATCAGTAAACCAAACGAGCAACAATTTGTTATCAGTATACCAAACGAGTAACAATTTGTTATCAGTAAACCAAACGAGTAACAATTTGTTATCAGTAACCCAAACGAGTAACAATTTGTTGTCAGTAAACCAAGCGAGTAATATTTTGTTATCAGTAAACCAAACAAGTAACAATTTGTTATCAGTAACCCAAACGAGTAACAATTTGTTGTCAGTAAACCAAGCGAGTAATATTTTGTTATCAGTAAACCAAACAAGCAACAATTTGTTATCAGTAAACCGAGCGAGTAACAATTTGTTATCCGTAAACCAAACGAGCAACAATTTGTTATCAGTAAACGGAGCGAGTAACAATTTGTTATCAGCAAACCAAACGAGTAACAATTTGTTATAAGTAAACC